CCCCGTAACCAGAGGTTTGTTTTCCTCCCGCGGGTCCCCGTAACCAGAGGTTTGTTTTCCTCCCGCGGGTCCCCGTAACCAGAGGTTTGTTTTCCCCCCGCGGATCCCCTAACCCGGTGTTTGTTTTCCCCCCGCGGATCCCCGTAACCAGAGGTTTGTTTTCTTCCCGCGGATCCCCGTAACCAGAGGTTTGTTTTCCCCCCGCGGATCCCCGTAACCAGAGGTTTGTTTTCTTCCCGCGGGTTCCCCTAACCCGGTGTTTTCTTCCCGCGGATCCCCTAACCCGGTGTTTGTTTTCTTCCCGCGGGTTCCCCTAACCCGGTGTTTTCTTCCCGCGGATCCCCTAACCGGTGTTTGTTTTCTTCCCCCCTCAGGCTCGCCGGGATTTGCGTTCAAGCCGCGCTGGGGAAGATGGAGATGTGAGGTTGGTTCCCCTCAGCAGCTCGCAGCGCTGCGAGATCCTCGGCCCGTGCGTAGGGGTGGGGAGGGACAAGCCCTGGGGATGTGGGCAGGGAATGTTTCCCCAGTCCCAGCGCTGGGATGCTGAAGGAATTGTGCTTCCTGTTAAAACACTGCACAAAATATCACCAGCCCCAAATTGAGCCAGGAGGTGGAACTGGAGTTTAAAAACCAACCGGGCCAACTTAAATGGGTTTTGAAGGTGAGAACTGGCAGCAAACACTGGAAACTGGAGGGTTTTATTGAAAAGTGTATGGAAATTTGCAGGGCCTTAGCAATAACAAGAAAAAGAAATGTGTGGTGGACTCCAAAACTAATGTGGACTTTGCTATAAAAAAGGTGGTTTTTTTCCAGATAAATTGAGAATCTACTTGACATTTCTGCATTAGGTCTGTGTGGCTTTAGTCTGGCTGAAGCAAAGCAAAAATCTGTGTGTGAGATGCAAGACAACAAACTGTGTTTGTACTGGGGGAAGAGCTGGATCCTCCAGAGAAAACGGCATCAGCCCTTGGAATACAGGTGTGACTCCAACACTTGCTGTGCCAGAGGGTGCTGGGGAGGAATTGTTCACCTTCTCCCTTTAAAAGCCTGATAAGGAACTGCTGGAGCACGAGTAAAATCCTGATAGAGTGATCAAAGTATGCTTGAATTGCAAAGCAGTGATTCTTCTCTCATCACCTCAGCCTGTGAGATGTAGAATTCCCAATCCCACACTTAAGCCATGCTGAAATCAGTAGAATTCCTCACCTGGAATACCAATGGTGGTTCAAAAACACCTGGGAGTGAGAGCCAAGGGCTCGTTGCTCATGCAGCTCCTTCTCAAAACCCACCCTTGCACAGCCAGAAAACATTAATATTTTTAGCGAGTTTTTGTTGTGCTTTCCTAGCAACAGCCAATTCCTTAATGATTAATCCCCAAACTGTGGCAAATCTGCGAATTTGGGGATGCATGCTGAAGTCATCTGTGCTGCCTGACGTCAGCATTGCATAATCTGTTGACTGTCCCCTTTTTATGTAATGTATGTTTGGAGTTTGTTTTAAAATGTGCAAATGTTTTTTTTTCCCCTGCGTGCTGCTCCTCCTGTATTCCACGTTTGCCTCTCCATTGCCCTCTGGAGTTGCAAACTTGTAAGGCAGCGTTTTCGTGGCTGGATCCAGCCGAGTGTTTTGTGTTTCTCTCTTAAAAACAGCCTCGGGAACATCTCAGCACCTTCTCTTGGCCAGGTGAGTTATTTAGAGTGTTAAAAAAAAAAAAAAATCCCACAAATTATTGCAATTTCTGCTTCCTGCTGGTGGAAACATGGAAGCTTCTTGTGCTGTTCCATCAACATCATAAATGGACTTTTATTGGAAACTTAGTTACACATTAACTTCGGCACCATGAAACCGTTGTGTTTTTTTAAACTCATTTCAGAGCTTGATGTATCCAATTCCCTCAGGCAACGTGGGGGTGGTAGGAATAATTTTGGGATGTTTTCAGGAATGCCTGGTTTTAGGGAAGAAAAAACCCGACAGGGGGTAAAGCTGTAGAAATACACAACAAAGTGTGGGGGTGGAGGAATAGTTCTATGATCTTTTCAGCAGTGCCTGTTTTTAAGGTAGGAAAAACAAAAATGGTGGGGAGTAAATATAGGTTGATGGAAACTTATAATTTAACTAATTAGTGGGATTGTGTATTTCAAATGTTGTTACGTGGATTTGATGGCCTAAAAATGCCACGCCGGGCACCTGGAGGCTGCTCCGTGTGAGCACAGCTGGCTCTGGGAGCTGCTGCCCTCGGAGGGCACGGCCAGGATCAGCCCTGCTGCTGGCTCTGGAGACCCCCAACTCCAGAGGAGCCCAGCGCAGGCGTGGGGTGGGCTGGGAAATGCCAGCTCCTGGCAAACCGGGCAGCAGGAGCCCGGCGGGC